GCAGAGCCCGCAGTAGAAGAAAAGTGCGAAGAACGGGTACCCGGTTGGAGCCAGCTCCGATGCGGTGGCCGGGAGTACCCTCGTGCGCGGGTGCGCACGCGTCTCCGTCGACCAGAAAAGGTAGTAGTACTCCCTCAGCTCCTTGGCGCCGAGCTGAGGGGGGAAGATGGCCCGCTCCTTCCATAGCGCCGCGAGCCGCTGCGCCTCGGCCGATTTCACGCCCTTCCCCTTGTCGGCTTTCGGAGCCATGGCGGAAGTGGTAGGGGAGATCGGCGGCGTGGTGGTGCTGGTGGCGACGGGGGGCGGAGCACGCCTCTCTTTCGGCTTTGAGAAGAAGGGGGGAGCGGTAGAGATTCTCGAGGACAAAGCAACAAACGGCGAAGTGGGGAAACTGCCCATGTTTCCCCTGCTTATAAAGAGGGAGGGGGCGGACGTTTCGCCCTTCCGAATAAAGAACCCCCCACGATCTCTCCCACGATGCCGCATTCAGCACGTGCCGTTGGGGGAGGACGCGGTGGGTACAGAGCAAGATTCGGCGTTACTCGGGCCGCGCGTGCCCGTGCCCTGTTTTGGGCCTGGCCCAACAGCGCTCGGCACCGTGTGTGGCCCAGGCCCGGGGGCTCCTGTCGGTGTACTAGAGTGGGGGTACCCTAGTACCCCAAACTTGTGCACGGGCGGTCGCAGCGCCCCGTGGCAAGGGCTTGCCGGGTGGCTGCCAAGGTACTCTGTGGCTCCTCTGGAGCCGTTCAAGAACAAAGTATTCAAGTCAAGAAGACAAGGCCCCGGCAAGAGGAGCTTGCCGGGAAGGCCAACCGAGGCATCTCAAGGAACTTGCCGCGACGCGCCACGCGTCCCGGCAAGGCTCGGCGAGCGACAAGCTTCCGGGCGCGACAAGACCACGACCGCGGCAAGACGCTTGCCGCGGCAAGCGGCCACTCTGCGCCCACGCTCCAGCGGATCCACCAACGTGTCGCCCTAGGGGCCTTTCCAGGCGCGCATGGCGGAAGGCTGTGCAACCAGCGGTAAGCGGTGGCATGCGATGCTGACAAGATCACCATCGTGGCGGATGGTGGCACCCCTAGCGGTCCTTTTCTACACTATTAGGGCGACACAGACGGGCATTTAATGCCCTCGTCCCCTGTCGTCAGGGTTAGGTAGAAAGCACTATACAAACAACTGTACCAACTACCTCTCTTTTTACGTTTTTACCCTCCTCTGTGTTGCCACCTGTCGGTGACCCGTTGCGCATATAAAAGGAGGCCCATGCGCTACGTAGGGGAGGTTCGGTCAGTTCGGTTCGACTAGTTCGACTAGTTCGAGAGGTTCGGATCATCTCGAAGCCAGAAACACTTAGCTCTCCAGAGCAAGAACATAATACAATCAGACAAGCAGCAGTAGGAGTATTATCTCTCCGGAGAGCTCCGAAGCTGGGTAAACTGCTCGTGTGCCTCGCCTCGATCTGCTCTTCGTGCGACCTCCGCCCCCCGCCGAACCGAAAGGGGCCCGGTCCGCCGACCCCATAGGTGTTCGTGGATCAGTTTCCCTGACAAAACCTCTCTCGAAGAATTGAAGAGGCAAGAATGGCTGAAAAAACAACGTGATGTCCACGAGCGTGATGGCAAACTAAGTAAGCAAATTGCTCACATGGAAATCAACGAAGCCAGCAAAGAAAAGGAGCATAACAAATACCACAACCATAAAGACAGACTAGTAAGAATTGTAAATAACAGTGTCTTACGGTTTTACAAATTACAGTACATGTCTCGCTAAAACAAAAGCAAAATGCAATTCCCAGGTGCGCAAGTTCAAGGAAGTATACGAAATATTACTCAGTGAAAAATTCGAAAAGGAAAAGACTAAATGGGAAGTTCAATTTTTAAAGAACGTTCCAAAGGTGAACAGAGGTGAAACCCTGTTTGCTGTTCTAAGGTTCGTGCATCTCTTTGATGGCAACCACTTCGTCGAAGAGATAGATAATTTCGATGTAAGTTTTCGCTTAAAACTCGCTATAAATCTGCAAGATATCATACAACTGCATGACCTAATTCTGATGTGTTTTTTCTCCTTATTTTTCACTGAATTTTTTATAAGATGGCACGGAACAATGGAAATCACAACAACTATGCAGGCTACTATTTAGTGATCAGAATACAATCGAACCCAGCAAAATGGGCGATGAGATTAGAAAGATCTACGACGACATCAAGGAAAAGGAATAAAAAGTTGTTGATAAGCGAACAAACCTAGCTCTGTCAAAACATCAGAAAACGGTTTAACCGCACATCATACTGTGATAATGAAGCAGCAGACTCTTTTTATTGATGTAGTTCCTTGATTCTTCATTAACCAAGCATTCAAACACAAGCCAGTGCCCTAAGTCCGTCCCTAGACATACGTGTGTCACATTGACGCGCAGTTACTCTACATACTCCTCACGCGTGACCGCCATGTGACTTTGATGTTTGGCAAACATTCATCCTCTCTGCAACCATGTGCTACTGAATGCCACCAACCTACAGCATGCATCTGGCTTGAGTACAGACGTGACTCTCTAAATGAGTATTCAAACAATTGTGAAACATTCCGCACTCACACAAGGTCTCCTCCTAGGTTCAGTACTTCAGTGCCTCCTGTACCTGCATCCGTGCCTCATGTGCCTTCAATGTCGTGCCTCAAGTGCCTAAATCCACGTGCCTCGCGTGACACTTGCCGTGACTCCTGCAGGGCCCATCGTGCCACACCCACGTCACTTCACAAACGTGGTTCTCTAACCGGGTAGTCGGACTCATGCCTCTGTCGGCACACTTCTGTGCATCCCGAGAGTGCACAACCATGACTACACAAAACACACGTACATGCCTGTTGTGGATTCACCAATTCTGCCTTCCGTAACTACACCCACGTGCATCAAGTGCCTAACGTAATAACATGCGCAGTGACTCTTACATGGCCCCACTGCCACGCCCACATCGCTCCTGAGACTTCACAACCGTGCCTCTTTAACCGAGCATTCTAACACATGCCTCTGCCACCGCACTCTTGTACATCCTCAGCGTTGATACCCGTGCCTCTAAAAGCAGCATGTCCATGCCTGTATTTCCTTCATTTCCGTGCCTCCTATGCTTACATGCGCGTGCCTCACGCGACTCTTGCCTGTCCCATGGTTCTCTAACTGCCTGTAGAACCCACACTTCCGTGCCTCCTGTGCCTGAATGTACGTGCCTGTAGAACTTCCACTTCCGTGCCTCGTGTACCTGCATCCACATGCCTCCAAAGAGGCTCCACTTCATAACTCTACCACATGACTTCACAACCGTGGTGCCTTGATTTCTGTGCCTTACGTCCTTGCACCCATGTGCCTCACGCGACACTTGCTAAGACTCTTACGTGCCAAGTAGTGCGACACCCACGTCACTTCACAACCATGGTTCTCTAACCGAGTACTCGGACCCATGCCTCTGCCGCCACACTTTTTTTTGCATCCACAGAATGCACGTACGTGCCTGTGGTGCCTTCATTTCTGTGCCTTACGTACCTGCAACCACGTGCACAACATGACACTTGCCGAGACTCTTATGCCCCCCATAGTGCCACACCCATGTGAGTTCACAATCGTGGTTCTGTAACCGAGTACTCGGACCCATGCCTTTGCCCCCACACTTTTGTGCATCCAGAGAGTACACGTACGTGCCTGTGGTGCCTTCATTTCCGTGCCTACACGTACCTGCACCCACGTGCACAACTTGACATGCGTGGCTCCTGATACTTCGCAACCGTGCCTCTGTAACCAAGCATCCTGACACATGCGTCTACCACTGAATTATTTTGGCATACGCAGGGTTGATACCCCATGCCTCGAGAAGCCGCAAGTCCGTGCCTCCGTTGCCTTGAATGTCGTACCTCCTGTGCCTACATCCACGTGCGCAAAGTGACACATGCCATGACACTTACGTGACCCGTAGTGCCACACCCACGTGACTTCTCAACCGTGGTTCTCTAACCGAGTACTCGGAACCATGCCTCCGCCGCAAAACTTTTCGTGCATCCAGATAGTGCACGAACATAATTGTAGTGCCTTCATTATTGTGCCTTACGTACCTGCACCCACGTCCGCAATGTTACACTTGCCGAGACTCTTACGTGCCCCGTAGTGCCACACCCACGTGACTTCACGACCGTGGTTCTGTAACCGAGTAGTCAGACCCATGCCTCTGCTGCCACACTTTTGTGCATCCACACACTGCACACCCGTGACTTGAGAAAACACATGTATGTGCCTGTTGTGGATTCACCTTTTCTCCCTTCTGTGCCTGAACCCACGTGCCTCACGTGCCTAACGCAACATACGTTGTGACTCTTAAATGGCCCCACTGCAACACCTGCGTCGCTCCTGAGACTTCACAACCATGCCTCTTTGATCGCGCATTCTAACACATGCCTCTGCCACAGCACTCTTGTACATCCTCAGCATTGATACCCGTGCCTCCAAAAGCAGCATGTACGTGCCTGTATTGCCTTCATTTCCGTGCCTCCTATGCTTACATCCACGTGCCTTACACGACTCTTGCGTGTCCCGTGGTTCTCTACCTGCTTGTAGAACCTACACTGCCGTTCCTCCTGTGCCTGCATCTACGTGCCTATAGAACCTACACTTCCGAGCCTAACATCAGAAAAACGGATCTTGATGCTCAAACGGACGGTTCAAGATTAGATACGGTTCGATGGTTTCCATCTCTCCCTCCCTCTTCTACTAGCTTGCTTCCCCTTCCGCAAAGTAAATCTCAAAACCTTCATCACTCCTACAAGCTCTCGTCCTTCCTTCTGCAGACAAACACAAATTCGAAATCGAGTTCGCGTCACCGAACAAACCGCCACCGCATTCACCAACCACCCTCCAATCTGACATACACACAGCCACACACTGCCCGCGAGAACACCAATAACCCAGCCGGCTCCGGCGACCGACGGCGAGGACTTCAACAGTGGCGGCAGAAATCGCAATGAAAAAAGAGCAACGACACAGTAAGCGGATGGAACCGAAGAACACCGCACAACTAATTCAAGGTAATTATCATTCTATCCCACTCCATTCCACCGGGTAGATCGTAGTGATTTTTCAACTTCAAGGAACAGCAACCCTAGCCACCGCTACAAAGGAGTTTTCCAATAACCTAAAATCAATTTGTCTAACAAATTGAACTGCCGGAGAGATGAGATTTAATAGAAATGCTACAGCTCTCTGCCCTAGAATTTTCGCCATATGATATATGCTCAAAGGTACTAAACCTGAAACGTCACTAACTAGAATACGTCGATAGATCCAAACCCCGCAAGCATCCTGAGAGGCCAAAACCTGATAACCGTACGACATTTTCTACATGTTTGTCCCTTCAATGTAACCGTTTTTCAAATTAAGTGCCTCTGGTCTGAAAAACCGTGAACACAGAATAGATGTACCATGTGCTTCTAGGGTAAAACAACCCGTGCCTCTCTATACGTACAAATTTGTTTTCACACCACGCAGCTTTTTTTCTGCGACACTCGACTCTGCTTCTAACACCTATACATTTTTTATGCAGCAATGAGAAATCCTCATGAAGAAGCTAAAACCCAGCAAAATACTAACGAAGACCCTGCTGAAGAGCATGCAATCCAGCAAGCTCCTGTCAAAGGTTTGACCAAAAGAGTCCATTGTCTATCTGCAAAAAATTGTATTGAGACATTAATAACTTAACTGGTATCCTTGACAACAATAACTTAACTATGTCTACAAATAAAACTACCTGCCACTTTTTTATATATTTCTTTATAGAAAACATTAAAAATGTTCACACACTATCTTATATTTAATTAAAAAACAGTTTAACTTACTAAATAAATCTTCAACTGTCATTGATGATATTCCTTCCATTATGAAATATCACCTGCAGAGTGCATTTGTCTCAGAAAATGCTTCACCCTAACTTCACTTCCCCAACTCCACTCATAACCATAATTAATATTTTTCTTCAATCCCCTTATTAGCTCAATCGGCAATAGTAGAAATAACCTTTCTTAACCCAAAAAAGAAAACTAAAAATCCCCTTTTGGGAGTTTCACATTCCTTATGCATAATCGTGGAAGATATATATTTTAAATGTGTATAAATTATTTTAGGACAAAAGAATATCATTTTTCGTTACCTGGTCATTATGCAGGACACAAAGACAGTGATATTGAAAGCACACAAACACAAAGCATGTCTCCTCATTCATCATAGAAGGACACAGAACAGACCATCAGGAACAAACCACCTGCGGCAGAAATGGTAACTTACACCAGGCTCAACAGGAGTAAACACCTAGCAACAAGCTAAAAAAGACAAAATCAGATACCAGCACTGTTTTTACTCCTGGAGCAAAAAGGCAAAAGAAAAAGGAAAATGCTGAAAACATCGTCGACACTGGTACCTTGCAGCATCAGCCATTACCTCTAATGGTACTCCCACCAACTGAACCAACCGGCACGAAGAAACAAGCTGAACGCAAGAAGAAAAACAAACGACAAAGGGTAGAAAAAGAACAAGACAATACCAACAACAAAGGTTCAGATACCAATGATGACGACGATGATAGACAGCATGATGCAGATTTCATTCCTACAGACAGCGATGATGCCGAAGAGCACGACAATGATGCAGAACATGACGACGATGTAAAAACACACTTATGCACTAATTTTGAATACCACTATTCGGCACTAGGGATCTAACATTCCTTTCTAACAAAACCCTTTTTTTCTGAAACAGCCCAAATCAGGCAAGAAGGACAGAAAGAGAAGAAAGACAAGCGGGAAAGAATTGGTAGTACCAACAGATGACGAAGAACAACAAGAAACAGACGAAGAGAAATGCCAAATCAAGGCAGGGGCAACATTCGCCCATGTCAAGAAAGCATGGAATTTACTTAAAGACCGTCACAAGAAAGATATTAGGACGGCAGGATTTGGCAGCATAGAGAACTGCAAAATAACGGGCTCCATCTGCAGACCGCTTGCAGCACACATCTACGACAACCTCAACACAGAAACCATGACAATAACCTTCGGTGATGCTACTGAAGACAAAAAAATCAAGATTACCAAGGAAGCTACCCACAAGGTGTTTGGATACCCAAACAGCACGCAAAGGTCAGCACCAAGGCCAGAAACTAGCCCAGCTTCAATGAAAGAACTGATGTCAGACCTTGGCTTCAAAGATACAAAATTCGTGACAAAACAACTATTTGAGAAGCTACAAATATTGGTGGAAATAGATGACGAAGAATCAAACAGGAAATCAGTTAAAATATTTTTTCTTATTTTTTCCACAATGTTGTCTGCGGGTCAAGCGCCGCTATCTTCGCCCGGACAGCTATAATGGTCAAGGACATGGACTATCCAGAAATGGCAAAGATGGATTTCTACGAGGTAATCGTCGAATGTATTAGGGAAGGAGCCAAGACATGGCAGAAGCACAGGATGTTGCCTCAGGAAGAAAAGAACAAAAAGCACGGCAATGGTTTGGCACAGGTACCAGTAATCATGTACCTTGACTCCCTGCTGCTGCCAACCGACACAAAAGAAATGCGGAAGATTGCAAAGACAATGGAAAAAACCTCATTACCACGAGCAAACCATCTCAAAGAGAGTGACCTAGCGAAAATAGCTAGAGCAGACATGAAAACGGACGGAAAAGCACGACCAGATGACTATGAATTTGGCAAGATACAGGTATATAAATCAGTCCTTCCCTTTTTAAAAATAGTTTCCTTCTAATCAACTCCATTCCACCGAAACGATGTAGACATGGAAAGGAACAACAGAGAGGATCTTCTATACCAGCACAGCATCAACTTCGTCTTCAATTCACCAGATAGCAGGAGAACATCGTAAAGAACAGCAACACCAGCACACAACCAAACTGCTACCACCTCCACCCAAGCGCCGGCGCGAACCACGTATCGGCACCAGTGGAAGCATGGAACCAAACAAAAACATCAGCACACGACCAGAAGAAAGATTCCAAAGGATAAACAAATTGTTGGAAAAAGTGCTCCATGAAGCAGAACAGTTACCCGCAGTAACCACCAGGGCTAAACACCGATGCAACGAAAAATAAGAGATATTGGATGAAAAAAAACAAGAACAAAGTCGTGCAACAAACAATTGCCCTAATGGATTCTCTAGAACAACTCAGACAATTTCAGGACATAGTTTGCACAAGGTACCTCACAGACAACGCGACCCTGCAGATGCTAGAGCAAGCAGATCCAGCAGCATCAAGTAGACTAGTCGATCCCAACCGCACGAATGAAATAGTAGCCACAACAGAACAAAGAGAAAGGAGGAAAAGTAAGAAAGAAGAAGAGGACGAAGAGAGGAAGAGAAGAACAAAATCAAGGGACGTGGGCATTGACAAGAAGAAGATAAAGCGGCAAAAACAGGTAAATAAATAGTAATGCATGGTGCCATCCGCAAGCAAAACCCTGTTCTCATACCTTAACTAAAAAGAGATGTGTCAATGCTTTCAGGAACGTACCAATAGCACGCCAGGCCAAGATGAACTCCACCAGCAGGATAGCATCAACAACCCCAAAAAACAAGAATGAACGCAACAAACAAAGCAACCTCACAACAGAAAGTGCTACAACAACAACTACCCCAACACAAGCACAAGATACGATGAACGTCAGAACCAGTGAAGAGGTCAGTATGAACATCCATTTTTCCTTTCAAAACTGGATAGAGTTATAAGTTAACTGACAAACCTCCAACAAAATATAGGCTCAGCTGGAGAACAATCAAGTCAGCAGTCCCGTCAACCAAATGCAAGAGGCTGGACCACAATCAACCGTTAGCATAACAAACGACAAAGAAGAAGACAACAACGAAGAGGAGGTAAAATTTCACAGCCCACTACACCCCACACTGGAAACTCATAATGGCAGGAAAGAAAGTGAACCACAAACTCATATTGTTTGAACTCCAGGTATCACAATCACTGCCAGACCAAGAGACAACCAGTGTTGAAATTGAACCCCATAGTGAACCTCAAACAGACGAAGGAGTCACAGAACAGGAAGTTTGTGCACATGAGATTTCCAGTGCCACAACATTGCAGATCACCATGACGAGTACAAAGGATAAAACCCAAGACATCCAAGCCGATGAGAAACTAGAGACTGTTATACCTGACAAAGAAACAGTCAACGCAGGCACGAATAACCCAGTCATCAACACAGAGGTAAAAAATCAACAACAAACCCTTTTCAAACCATTTATGATGTCTGGACTACGTAATACACCCCACCACCGCAATACAAGGATTATAAGGGATGTCTGACCCTTTTCTTTGAACAAATGCAGGAAACAAACAAGTACATTGATCTCGAAGATCAAGAAGCAGCGCAACCAAAGGAAACTGGAAAACACACAGAACTTCAAACAACAACATCTGAAGAGGTGAGGTTACAAAGCTGAGACACAAATGAAGTTCAAACTATAATTTCAATTTTTTATTGAACAGGAAGAGGAAGCAAACGAAATCACTCGCATAGACATTGAACAAGAAAAATTAGAGGACAGAACGAGACAAGGAGAAGCCGTAGTTCCAGCAGTAGACAGTCCTGCAAATCCAGAGAAAGAGGTCTTATAAAAAAATTGTAACTCAACAATCAAAGATGCACCCATTTCTTAAATACTTTTTGTGTTGGTGCAGGCACAAGAAGCCCAGGAGAGCACCAACAATCAAGACCATCAAACACAACCAGAGGAGCCCAATGAACAACCCGAACATGTTCATCAAACGGTAGACAATAATGCCACTGAAGACCAAGCCACCAAAAATTCACTCACCAAACAATAGCTACCAGAGACAGCGCTAGCGTCAACGATTGAAAAGGTAAAGTTACAAAACCTGCAAGCATGAAATTAGAAAATTGTCGCGTGCACAATCAAATAAACTCCAACCTACCACACATGTACTCACTCCAACCTACCACACCTATACTCACTCCAATGCACTCTCACTTTGCCACCTCTATATTTCAACAGCTGCAAGAAAAAAACAAGGTCAGTGACGATGAACAGCAAAAAAAAGAGCAAGAGAAGGACCAAAAAACACCACTCAACAAAGAACACGTAGAACAATCAGCTGTAACAAGTACAGAGGTGAAAACACATAATACCTCTGAATGATCTTATAGTTCAAAAATACGCATTTCACATTTCACTACTTTCCTCGATCACAGAGAGATGAGACAGATGAGCAAAAGAAGGCCACTGAAGAAGGGAAACATGTTCTTCAAACGGCAGACATCAACGTCAAAGAAGACCTAGCGCCAAAATATTCACTCACCAAAAAAACGGCAGCAGAGACGACAGCAGCGACAACCACTGAAAAGGTAAAGTTACATAACCTGATCCTCTGAAAGTATAAAATAGCTCTGTTGAAGCTCAAATACACTACCACTTAGCCACGTGTGTGTGTTTCAAAAGCTATAAGACAAAAATGACGGCAGCGGCGATGAACTCCAAAAGACAGAACAGGAAGACGAAGAACAAGCACAACAGTCAGCAGCAACAACGAGAACAGCAACAGAGACAACAGAAATAGCAACGATTGAGAAGGTAAAGTTACATAAGCTGATTCTACGAAAATATAAAGTAGTTCCATGGTTGAAACTTACCACCTTTATGATTGAACAACGCTGCAAGACAAAAACCATGACAGTGACGATGATCACCAAAACAAAGAACAAGACAGTGCCCAAGAAACAACACCCAACGAAGAACGGGTGGAACAGTCAGCATCACCAACGACAGCTCAACAGGTGAAGTTGCACAAAATGTTTCCACAAAATGACAACTTAATCACAATCAAAATAGCTCAAAGCACGCACCGAACACTTCGCTATTTTCTCATAACAGCTGTTATAATTAAAATAAAGTAGCAAGATAAATTATTTCAATGCTTTTTAAATGACAACGCAGAAACACGAAGAAGGCAACCACGGAGATACAACCAATGAAGCAAGCACACAAATTGTTCCAGAGAAAGAACCAAAAACTATCGAAGAAAACCCTACACCGTCGTACGATGCCAATTCCCCTTGACAGGTCAGTGCCATCCAAGTCGAGACTAAAAAACAAGACAGAAAAGACCACCAGCAAGACATAACGGTTAACAAGGAAAAACATGATGCTAAGAAAAGCACAGACGACTCAAATAAGGATGGAGCAGAAACTGAACAAAAGGGTACAACGCAAAAAGAAGAACAAAACATGTCGCAGGAAGCAGAAGGAGAACAAGAAAGGAACAACACTAGACAGGACATATCTTCCAGCATCGAAGCGGGCAAGACAATAGAAACATAATTGCTATCTTGTGATCTTTGTGACTTGGAATTATTTACATTAAATTCAAAATCATCGCAGGCACAGTGAAGAAAGGGGGCAAAGATAGCGATTCCGTCAACAAAGCCATCGAAGACCTGTACAACGCTATATGCAAGCCATGGACAAAGAGAGAAATGTAAGTTCATGCAACTAACACAGAAAATATTCTTACACATGATCATTTTGACTGTATCATGTGTGAACTAAAACATTTTTCTAAATATACTTTGCAGGGATCAGCTTTTCATTACAACGGACAAGTTTGATGTAAATCTAGGACATGTCTCCGAAAGCTTCAAGGTCGGTAAATCAGTACGCACCGAAGCAATCAAGCCCATGCTAACAATCTTGAGAAAACAACTCAATGGCACACAGAGAAAGATTCTGTCGTTAAGCAACACTGTAAGTAAATATCACGGCAAAAGAATCACGTTTAAAACAATATATATGACTTTATAAATAGATAAACTTCCCCTATAGCTGAACTGACAAATTCCCTTTGTCTATCTGTGAAGAAACAAGCAGCACTCAATAAGGGAAGCCGACGACGAAGATCCAATGTGCTACGAAAATAATGATCAACAACGCATTACAAAAAAATTACTATCTGCAAGGCTTAGATCATTTTTCAACATGCAAGAAGAAGAAAAACTGCAAGATTATAACATGGTAAGGAGATCAGCTGTTTCAAAAACAAAACACAAATTGCGTATATGTTATGCAAAGTTGTCTTTTTATTTTATGTTTCTAAAAATAAGAAGATTTCCAAATGTTTTCTTTTTATTTTGTGTTTTGCAGTTCCTTCTACCATGTTCGTTGTGCGGGTTTGAGCAAGATGAAACTACAAGTCATTACTTCACCATCACAGTTAACATGCAAAAACAGCGCTTTGAACTCCTTGACTCTTCAACTGCATATCTAGGCACAATAGAATTCTTCAACAATGTAACCAGCAAACTAATGAAAATCTGGAAGCACATAAGCACAGAGCTACAGCTTTCAGAAAAAAGCATCAACCATTACAAAAAGGTCAGACTGCAGGTGCCACTTCAAGGAGAAGACACGTAAGCACTTCCAACATCTTCACTTATTTCTTTTTCTTCAATGCAAGATTCAATACTACAATTACTGAAATAATTCTAGTCTTTTGTCTTTTCAATACAACAATTACCACTACCATTTCTCAAACTTTTCTCTTCTTTCCGTTTCTTGAATGCAACAATCTTACCAGTACCATTCATCTACATGCAGAATGGACTGCACATTCTATATGTACATGAACCTGAAGCACTACTCCAGTGATGGAACAACAGCAACCTTAAAGCCAGAACAAATACCAAAGTTGAGGAAAAAAGTTCTATATCAACTAATCAGTCAACACAGAGGGAATACAAAACTGTCACTAATCAAGTGTACAACAGGTTAGTCTCTTCAGAAACTAAATCTTACAGTTTCATAACACTAGAAGAAGTAATATTTTTTTTAATTATTGTTTTACAGATATGCTGAAGTATGAAGTAGATATAGAAGACAAAGAAATGCAACAGGCAGAATGTTGCATACTAGAAGAGTTTCCGCCAACTCCCGGGCCAAAAGATCATATTATGCATGCGACAACCACACAAGAGCATGAAGTTATTGATATATCCTATAAACGCAAAGAGATTATGGATGTCAGCAGCCACGCCGTCGCCCAACAATCTTTCACAGACCACAAACAAAATGATCCACCAATAGAACCAGATCAACCACCACCAGACGACAAGATACTACACCATGCCGAAGAGGAAACAGATGAGCAAAATATCAATAGCAATATCACGACCACAGAGCAACTGGAACAAACAGGCACTGATTTAAAAGAGGATGACAGAAGACACGACGTACCAAATACACAACAACAGGTTTACGAGCAGAAGAAACAGCCTGTTCTTGTTCAAGAAGAAACAGGCTCGACAAGCAATCAGCAAGGCACCACCAGCACCATCTATTTAGACTTCCTAAAACCAAAAACAATGGAAAAGCAGGAAGAAGTTGATGAATTTTTTCCAAGCCTTAACCCGCTACAACTAGACGTGTACAACGACCATGTAAAGATGGACTCTAAGTTTGATGTAATCAAAACATGGTTGGCCGACCATGAAAGCTATGAATTCAACAAAAATCCCAAGCCGTATCTGACAATCTTGCAGCAAGAGTCAGGAGAACATTCAATGCCTCAATCATCTGAGAACAGCTCAGACAAGAAAATCTCGGTCAAGAAAAGGACGGTAAAGCCTTCAAGAAGGCTCCTTGGAGAAATCAGGATTCCTACTATTGCCCCAAGAGATTTCAAATTTATGAACAAAGCCAGAGCACTCCATGAATACCTATTCAGCAAAGAAGGACATGACGAATGCAGAGAGTAAGTACTTTCTCTTGCATAAACAAAAAAACAAAGAAATGTTGCCCCTTTTTAAACCAACCTATATAAACTTTTTCTGCTTGTAGTCTAAACATATATATTAGCTCGATGCAACCCGATTGGATTACAGGAAAACAAGCAATGCAACAGCTACGGAAAGGAGATCATGAACAGATGGAGGGCTCCATCACAAACGCATTGTTCGACGAATGGACAGTGCAGCAACAATACAACACAACCGATAAAGCCATACTTCCCGTAGAATTTGCAAACGTATGAAGTCCAATTTGACAAAAACACTTGCATAAATTCAGTGATTACAATGATTTAACTAAAAAGTAGAAAACTTTTTGGTTGCAGATCGTGCTCGGTGTTAAAACTAGAGAAGAAGAAGGACTAGCAGAATTCAATGAGGAAGAATCATTGAAACAGTTTGCATCCCTTGTAACAGGGAAGGAACTTTTAAAGAAAAAGCTGGTAAGTTGATAGAAATATAGAAACATAATTCATTCTTCCTACAGATTGCACATTCAAATGTCATATAATTTTCCGGACAAGAATGAACTTTAACTCACTCTGTCTCCAAACATTGCAGATTATGATACCTCACAACACAGCTAAACACTACACATTGTACATGCTCAACAAGTACACGAGCTCCATTGACATACTTGACTCACTGAATTACAGACACGAAGACGGAAAAAATACATGGAAAACACACCATAAGGATCACCAAGAACTGGTACGTCAATTCAACATTGTTTTCTAATTGGTTTTCCAATTCCTGCATTCCCTTTATTAATGGCAAAACCCAATAATAACACAGATTAAAAGGATGCACGCACTCATGAAGAAGCATTACGGCGAAGCGGAGCTACGAGCCAACAGCGAACCGAACTGGTCGAGGATAGCAGAAACACCTAACAGAGTTTGCGTGCCAAAACAGCAGGGTACGCAATGCGGACACTTCATGGTTCAGTTTGCAAAATACTGGAATGGCATTGATCTCATAAAAGATGATGAGGATTTCAACGTAAGTGAATAGTACAAGAGCAAAAAATTTAATTTTTACAAGCAGCACTACTTGAATACTTCAATTATCTCATGAAAGAAAAATAAAAGAATATCCGATGACCTCCATGCAGCAAAGCAACATAGATGCCGAGTGGAAACCAGAGTTCCTTTTTACAGCCATATTTGGTGAAACAAACCTAGTAAACTGGGAGCAACTACCTGGAAGAATCAAAGAATTCAAACTAGAAACTTCAAAGTTCTTTTCCACCAATAAAGGTAAGAAAATCATTTCTACTTATCTTTTTTTTGTAATAACCTACCCATACCATGGTTCACCAATGTCTTTTGTATCACGAGAGCTTACATATTACATATCTGCTTCCGCTGACACAAACTGATGAAACAAAAAGGAAAAAAAAGACAAAGCACCAGTCCATATCCAAAACATTCTCATTGCTTCCAACACACAAAGGAGGCGTCCGACCTCTTCCATCTGGTCATGAGTGACAGCTGGCAGGAGGAATACAAGAAGTGAGTTGTTTTCTATTGCACCTCAAAATAGTTGGACAGAGGCCAAAAATAATGTAAGAATCTGTTTCTCACTAACTGTGACCTCCAAAATTATTTTATCTCCCTGTCGCAGCAAAACTATATTTAGGCGCATCCACGGGGACAGTGAAAGCACGCAAGTTACTGGAGCCCAATTGAAGGCAGTATTTGGTCCAAGACCAGCACAGACAAACATACCACATCATATGGAAAAGAGGGTCCTCGATGACATAGTAGAAATTTGGGAAAGCAGACAAGATTCAACAGAGTGACAGAGTAATATTAGGCCCAAACTTTGCAGAGGTAAACTTTTAAAAAGCAAAGTCTTGTGTTATAATGCGACAACTACTCTTTCTATATTGTTAAACAACTCGTTTTCCTAACAGTTTTTTCATCATAAATATTGTTTGCAGCATATATTGCATTTAAAGGAACACAAAACTAGTATTAATAAATTTAAAAATGAATTGCAAAAAGCAAAGAATCAACTGGTTCCCATGTATCTCAAGGAAAATCAATGGAAAAAGCTCTCAACAGCAAACATGGTAACAACCCTTTCTTCCATGACAAAATCAGAAAATATGTGTTCTATTAAATAACTTTATATTAAACTGTCATCTAAGCAACAAGTATTTTATACGCTGATATTCATTCCAATGGAGAAGCATGACCGCTATGTACTATATGTCCTGGACAAATACAAACACAAAGTTCACATTATTGATCCTCAAGAAACGACTCACAAGGAATTTCAGAAAGAAAAGATAGGCGTCGAAGAATTGACAGAAGAAGAAGCATGTCGAGTTCTTCAGGAAAATGAAGATGCTAAAGAAGAAAGAGAAAGACAGTTTGATGAATATCATGTTCATAAGTTGGCAATCGTAAGCATTTATACATAACAATTTTTTCTGTTTTACAAGTTGCAATATTAAAACAATTAATTACAAAATGTAATATTCCCAGGTACCTAGGTTTAAAGAAGTCTTCAACATCATACTAGGACAAACACTGAATGCCAAGGGTACAAGATGGCAGACTCATACCGTGCAAGATGTTCCAGTGGTAGAAAAGGGAGAATTGACATTTGTTGTTTTAAAGCTTGCATTCCTCTACAATGGTGAAAAGTTTGTCGAAGACCTAGAAGATTTGACAGTAAGTTTATAGATATTTACTTATAAACAACTTATATGCACAAACTCTAATAATATACTTCTCTTCTCGGCAAAATTTCACAGGATGAGGTCGAAGACTGGAGGGCAGAGGCAATGTACATTCTCTTAAATAGCGAGATGAATCAAATCAAAGCTAGTGAAATGGGTGACGAGATTAGCAAGATCTTAAGCAAAAATGAAGACTAAAACTTTTGATTTAGCCCGAGAGGCTAATTCTATCTAGACGTGAGAAAATACTTTGTCAATAACTCACATTTATATGTAATGTAGTTAGAAATTGCTTGTTCATGTTAAAAAGAGAACTATTTCGACAAGAGTGTCTCTTACATCATAAGAGAGTGCCATTAAACTATAAACAACAATGCCTCTTCTTATTTGTACAACAGCAGTGACTCCCAAAACAAACCCTTACGCGTGACTCTGGAAAGCACCGTCCCGTGCCTCCAGAGGCAACATGGCCTTGTGCCACCAAACCCTGAGTCACCATGCCTCTGGGCAATATCCATACACACACATACCCTTACGCGTGACTCTGGAAAGCACCGTCCCGTGCCTCCAGAGGCGACATGGCCTTGTGCCACCAAACACTGGATCACCATGCCTCCGGGCAATATCCATACACACACATACCCTTACGCGTGACTCTGGAAAGCACCATCCCATGCCTCCAGAGGCGACATAGCCTTGTGCCACCAAACACTGGGTCACCATGCCTCCGGGCAATATCCACACACACACACACATACCAAGAGCGCCTCAACCGTGGCTAGCTCCTATGCACACGTGACTTCAAATGCTTCAAACCCGTGCCTCCGGAGGCAACATACAAATGCCTTCGTAGTATGCACACATGTGCATGCACGCACAAACCTATATATCGTCAACAAAGCATAGCTCTTAAGTAGACGTGATTGCACATTCTTCAAACTTGTGCGTTCCGAAACAAAGCAGCTTGCCTTTTGCATGACCTGCTAGGAGGTTCCCTTGCGCCGGAGGCGCCGTGTCACACCGCGACAGACAACGTGCCGCACGAGCCAGCACGCTGCACACTTCGACCTATGCCCCCCCCTTCAAGATGTTTATGAAAATTAAACAAGCCGAAGGTGAGCAGGAGGTTCCCTCGCGCCGGAGGCGCCGTGTCACACCGCGATGGACAACGCGCCGCACAAACCAACACGCTGCACGACCAACACACACTTCGACCTATGCCCCCTCTTCAAGATGTTTATGAAAATTAAACAAGCCGGAGGCGAGCAGGAGGTTCCCTCTCGCCGGAGGCGCCGTGTCACACCGCGACGGAC